CTGAGACAAAATCTAATTAGGTACCAGTTTGTCCGATGTAGACTTTCCTATGGAACATTACTTAAGTGGTTTTATCACATATTATAAGAAGGCATTTTTTAAAAACAACTTTAAGCCTTTGATATAGTAACATAATATTCCTTAAGCCTTTGATATAGTAACATAATATTCCTTAAGCCTTTGATATAGTAACATAATATTCCTTAAGCCTTTGATATAGTAACATAATATTCCTTAAGCCTTTGATATAGTAACATAATATTCCTTAAGCCTTTGATATAGTAACATAATATTCCTTAAGCCTTTGATATAGTAACATAATATTCCTTAAGTCTTTGATATAGTAACATAATATTCCTTAAGCCTTTGATATAGTAACATAATATTCCTTAAGCCTTTGATATAGTAACATAATATTCCTTTAGCCTTTGATATAGTAACATAATATTCCTTAAGCCTTTGATATAGTAACATAATATTCCTTAAGCCTTTGATATAGTAACATAATATTCCTTAAGCCTTTGATATAGTAACATAATATTCCTTAAGCCTTTGATATAGTAACATAATATTCCTTAAGCCTTTGATATAGTAACATAATATTCCTTAAGCCTTTGATATAGTAACATAATATTCCTTAAGCCTTTGATATAGTAACATAATATTCCTTAAGCCTTTGATATAGTAACATAATATTCCTTAAGCCTTTGATATAGTAACATAATATTCCTTAAGCAATTGATATAGTAACATAATATTCCTTAAGCCTTTGATATAGTAACATAATATTCCTTAAGCCTTTGATATAGTAACATAATATTCCTTAAGCCTTTGATATAGTAACATAATATTCCTTAAGCCTTTGATATAGTAACATAATATTCCTTAAGCTGATCTTCCCTCTTTCCTACTAACTGTCTTCAGCCAAATGTTTGCAATTTATAATATTTTGTAGCCTTATTTCTCAAATACATTTTGCTTATAGTTTGTGCTATCTTTTCCTACAAACTATCATCATAAAGTTATAGGCGCAAATATTTTTTTTTGATGCGTTGTGAAAAGGTATTGTCGAGTGCTGTAAACAGGGTCACCCGGACCCCTAAATGGGGTAACATCAGCCGCGGACACTTGAGAACTATGAACACAAAAGCATCCTCATCTGTCCGGCCATCAAATGATGCAACGACGGTTGCTTCCTTCAACAATTTTGTAAAACGTTTCAAACCTTCTGATGACAATAAATACACAATGAGCAAATAGCTGTTAAATTTACATGGACATATGATGGGCAAAGTTTATTGCGTGATTTTACAACTGGCCGAAGATTGTTATTCCTTTTCTGTTCGTGTTTTATTTTTCTTACATTTTATTTACTTTAAATTATTGAAAGCTTTTTCCATGAAGATTTTATTCTGCAATTATGTGTGTTTGTATTTGCACGTGAACATGTCCGTCATGTAAAGTTTAGTATAATATGGTTTCAATTACATGTTGACTTTATGTATCTGTGCTTGGTGTTCGAATCCGTACTGTTTACATGTTACAGTGAGTCAAAATCAGTAGGTTGAATGTATATCCGTAGAAAAAGTGCATGTATTTTCTTTACTGACTAATTGAATGCTTGCGATCTGACTTGTTTACTGTTACTTAATTATTGTTTTTAATAGTAGGCATTAAAAGCGAAAAGTAGAAATATTTTATATATGTTGCTAGCATATATACCTATTACAAAAATATAAGTTCTTATTTGAATTGAGTGTTACAGGGTCTCACTTTTAGTCCACATTGAAACTCATTACACGTTATTATTGCTAAAAATAAATGTTATTTATCTTCTTGATTCCTTAAAATTCTTAATCTTCATGCTCTCTCTAGTTTTTACCCTTTCGATCAGTGGGAACATGTGTTACCTAATGTCACGAGCAGTCAAGATAACATCCCAGGCTGGAAGGTCACATAGACCGAAGAGAATATAACAGAGCAGTAAGTCGCATCAGACGCATACATTATAATCGGTAAAATAATAATAATAATAATAATAATAATAATAATAATAATAATAATAATAATAATAATAATAATAATTAGCAGTAATAGTGATATAAGTAGTAGTAGTAGTAGTGGTAGTGATCTATATAGGTTCATAAATTCAAGTAAAACCAAATATATTATATCCTTGGGTAGTGTACCTGCTAAACGAAGACTAAAAGCTAAACTATTAAATTCTTATGTCGGAATATGATCAACTCAAGACTATACAAATACCAAACGTAAAGTAAAACATGAATAAACCCAATTGAGTTTTCGCTTTGTTAAACAGAAAATGGGGTAGAACCGAGAATATCGATCACTTTCCATCAAGAATACCTCGAGTCTATGTAGGAAAATTCCAAGGTTGTTTTTTTCAGCCTGCTACCATATGGAATTGTCCGAGCAATGTTCCGATCGGGATAATGCCTTTAATATCTGCATGTCACGGTAGCAGATACGTAAATATATTTTAAACATGACCTCAGCTTTTTGGTACAAATCATCTTTTTAAAACTAAAATAATGTAAGGAAAATACTTAGTAGCTTTTACTACGTATTTACTCCTCCGATATATAATTATACGATTATTTATTAATGTCTCCTATACGGTCCAAAATGCAAAAAAAATTCAAAACAGTAACAACTGCTCCAGGATCAGTCATTGTTTTACTACTGCGTCAACATTACAAAATAATAAATGAGACCGATATTCATTGGTAGAGAAAACAGTTTCGACATAGATAATAACTGTGCATGCGAAGAATAACATTATTGGTGAAGCCAACAAGTGTTTGTAACTTGGGGTTGAGTTTAAACTGAAGAAGAAAAAACGAGTATAGCAACCAGATATGCAATACACGTCATTCGATATTAGCATGAAAATAAATATGCTAAAGCAAAGTTTTATTTGGGAACAAGTCAGAACAAATGGGATAATACTTTATTCAAAAACAACTACTGGTACAATAAACTAAAAAATTTGTTCAGAAGTTGTTTCTTTCAGGCAGTCCTCTTTTATATCCCAGAGCTTTGTGTAATTCGCAATACAACGTCTAACGCAATAAAAGACAGCGAACCAATGAAGGTAGTTGACTTGGCTTCTTGACATTTGGAAGTTATACATGGCATATGCATAACACTCTAAATGTTAACTGAATAGTATGAAACTTATTGATTTTTCTAGAATATTAAAGATTCAGATATTGATTGTTTCATTCGTTAGTAACGATCTATTTTCTTGATCGGTGCATGTAACTTGGCAATGACCTAAACGAAGTCAAGAGAACTCTGTGACTATAGAATTTAAGAAAATGTAAGGATATATGCAGACATTAATAAAAGGGACTTCAAATAACGTGATATCAAGGCATATAGCTGTGGAGTGGCTTTAGACAGGTGAGCAAATGCCAGAAAATGTCCAGATCTATTCACTCAGATTCGGAACAAAATGAATCTAAGAAGTATACTGGGTAAAGTGGCAGAAAATAGCAAGAATTGAACTTGCTAGCCATCCCAATAAGTATATAATACATATATGGAAGTTCACAAAGTAGATGATATCTATCAGAACGATAGCATGAACTATGTTTGGAACAGTATGATAATACTGATGTACATAAATGCATAAATGTTAAATATATGTATAAAATAACCAGTAAGAAATAAACATGGCCACTAATAGATGATGAAGCTGAAATGACAATGTAGCACATGAGGTAAAAATGACTGATTAGCTATTTAACGTCTCTAAAGTGTTCAACATTGTACGATATTATATATAGTTAAGAAGCGGAACAGTTGATTAATCAATATGTGTGAACCAACTAGCGAGGCACGCGCGATACCTGTCTCTGTGCAAATGTAATATTATCGGGGTGAATATATCTACCAGATGCACTAGAAGACAATCGACACAAGGTTTGGATAGATGGTATGGAATTCCACTATTAGCCGCCCCAATACGGAAGGAGTATCAATTATAGCGATGCGAATTGTACTCTGTTTAATATTTGTTTTCTATCGATGGCGTGGTATTCTAATCCGATAAAATTAAGATGCAACATTTCCGCTTTATTACCTGAACGATTTGGGGATAAACTTATAGTTATTGATAATTTCGATGTGTCTTGATTTAGATTCAGAGCTCTTCCCATAAAACTTCAGACACAATTAATCATGAGTCTCTTTAATTACAGGACTTCTCTGTTGAGAGAGTGGTGACATCTGGCGGATTAGCACATTTTAATGTCGGTTGTAGGTCCGAGACCGTAAGTGGGAAATCATGAATCAGTCCCAGTACAACGAAACAATGAACTAAATGTGTTGTGTGCAAGACAGCATGCAGAGCAATATATGTTGTTCATTTTGATAAATAAAGCAGATAACATATGGAGCAAAGAAAGTGGTTCGGTTAGATAAGTATACTAGAAAGTCTCTAATAAGTAGGTCAGATAGATAAGCTTATATTTAAGCGCCAAATATGTTTCATTTAGATAACTTTAGCTTCATTTTGCATCAGAAATCCTGAACTTTCATATAAATAATGTTTGAGACGAAAATATAAATATCCTTGACAAAAAGAACCTTAAACGTTGGTCCGATTGAGCATAGACTGTTTGATTTGGCTAAAGTTTGAACATTCATATTTTTTATCAGCATGTGATTCAACAGAAAACCAAGATGATATTTCAGAGGGCTTTAAAAATGTTGGCTGTATCTCCATATATTATAGTATGTTGTCTATGCTGTCTATATCTCCATATATTTGAGTATATTATTTATGCTGTCTATATCTCCATATATTTGAGTATATTGTCTATGTTGTCTATATCTGCAGATATGTTAGTGGTTGTATGCAGTCTATATTGTATGATATTCCAGAATGGTGTTGTACTGTCTTTTATCTCCAGACTTTTTCAGTATGGCGTTATGCTGTCTGTATTTCCAGATATTTCATTATGGCATTTACCACTTCAGTGGCCTAGTGGTCAGAGCGTCCGCCTCCGATACGGGGGTCGCGGGATCAAACCCCGGTCTAGACATACCAAAGACATACAAATGGTACTAACACCTGCCTAGCTTGGAATCAGCTTTAAGGGGTCTGAGTTAGTACTTGTCTGCCTTCTGTGAAGATAGTGTGACTGGGTGGCACATAATGCTATATGTCTGCGGCATGATGATCCACTGCTAGACAGCATATAAACTGCCAAACGGCAGACATGTTGCAATATGACTGAAATTTTTTAAATTTTTAAAGCTACGTTAAACAATCAAGTTACACAGACACAGAATGACACTACGCTGTCTGTATTTCCTGATATTTCAGCATGGCGTTATGTTGTTGTTGTTGTTGTTGTTGTTGTTGTTGTTGGGCTTAACGCCATTTTTCAGCACACGATAGGCTATTCATGGCGACCAGTATTAATGGTGGAGGAAGAAACCGGGAAATCACCGGAAAGAACCACCGACCTAAGAGAAGAAACTGGCAAGCTTTCTCACATATCCACATTCGCCGAATCCTAAACTCGAACACACGCAGACAGAGGTGAGATGGCAGTGATCCGTAACGGACAGCGCTTTAGACCACTCGGCCACTCGGGGCCCCCCAGCATGGCGTTATGGTGTCTGTATGTTCAGATATTTCATTATGGCGCTATCATGTCTGTATTTCCAGATACTTCATTGTTGCGTATACTGTCTTTACTTCCAACGAACTTAAAGAATGTTATTATTCTTAATTGAAGCGTTGACCAATTTTAGAATAAACGTTTGTATACCGAAGAAAACCAATAATTTATTTTAGAGGAAAACACCGATAAAATCCCTCAAAACATTTTTGCCATATTTGGTTAACACCTCAATAAGATCAAGAAGGAATTTAAAGTAGATTGAAATTAATATATTAACAGCAGATGAAGCTAAAGCAATGATCACGTTTTTCTTAATTGAATCACGTATTAGCAGAAGCTTTTTAAAGTTTTAAATTTTGCAAAAAGACAATTGTTTTATTGTATTGACAATCACTGTATTAAAGGGATTTTTACTTTAACTCCGATAAATAGAACTATCCATTATTTTTTCGCGCTGGGGTGAGGATGGGGGAAAACTTAATAACATTGGATGGATATACAATGGAATAATGCTTGTGTGGCTCTAATGAAGTAAATATATTTGGTAAATATTGTACATCCTAATTGTGCAGAGATATTGTTTAAGATCCCTGAGATAAAACAAACAGTTGGCATTTTCACCGATGACCTACACAATAGGAGATAATCCACCCTTGTTTCCGCCACATCAGGTACATTTGGGGTGTCTTGACAGGGACTTGGACCCAATTATTGTCTCTATGTAGTCCCTACATTTGTGTGCCAGTAGTAAACTTTCCACTGTGCCAAGATCCTTATAAATCATAAGTCAGTCTAAATTATCTTCAAAGATGAACTGACAGTGAAGTTGTTGTCTTAATTTGAGAGTCCGATTACTCACTCTCCACAGTTACCAAAATACACACAGGTACTAATAGCCGTATTATAAAAAATAAGGAATTTCCTTTTGGAGTGCTAAGAACGTCCTAACCTAACCAAAAGATCACAAGGAAAAAAGAGAAGAAACAATTTTCTTAAAAATAGATAAGGAGAACATTAGGGGTTATTGGCCCCAATGACATAATTGTTCCAGAAGTCAACGTTAACCTTTTCAAACATATTGACATATTATGCATCACTCAGTGTAGCATTCCAGATACAAGTGAGATTTAAAAGAATCTAAATGTATTCTTTAAAGTCCGAAATGCAAGCGCAGGTGCGTAAGTTGTTCTGACTTCTTGTACATTTTCTTGACTTGGTACTTTTGGTTTCGCAGGTCCTATTGAATGAGATACACTAGGACTGGTTATAAGTAGTGTTTCTGGAGGCACATCAGTGTATTAAATCATGCAGTGTATCAATCAATTTTCTCTTTCGTACACCGCCATCGATCATTTGACAGAGTTAACGTGTTGTTACTTGAGCTTCCTCTGCTTGATGCTGCATTAACAAAGTCATATGGCATGAAATGAGTCTTTTGATGTTTCAAAGCTAGGATCATTATCCACACCAACAACATGAGCTATAGCAAAGAAATGCTTTGAAAAGTTTGATGGTCACACTTCTTCTTCGTCGTCGTCATGCATAGAACTTGTTTTGATGCATTAAACCAGCTTAGCAAAGGACGTACTTCATAAAACAAATCTTTACTTGTACTGCGTACTGCGTCCCTACTCACTTAAATAACCTTATAAAGCATTTCGTGGTGTGGGACTTGGATCAATTGGCACCAAATCCGCTGTTCTTAACTTTTATAATCAATTGTGTTTTATGGAATTCTATTGCAGACTTTCGTACTTCGAAATCAAGTTCTAATATAGGAGTGAATAAAGTTTTGCTTTGTCATTCTACCTACTTAGGAAACGGGCCCTGTGTTTCAAGAAACATGTTACTTGTCGTAGAATAAAATTAATATTGTAGGGAATACTAGCTGTGTGTATGATTGGCAACTATCTGGTCAAAGTTCTTTTCTGGGAAATATGGTTTCCATATTATATATATATATATATATATATATATATATATATATATATATATATATATATATATATATATATATATATATATATATATCACAAAAAGGAGAAATATTCGTTTAGGCTATAAATTACTTAGACTGTACAAATAGTTTACAGACTGAGTCTGACCAGTTTGCAATCAGCAGGTGCGCATCGAAAATTGTTTGCGCCTGTATTGTGAATGGTGAGACAATATCATATTCCAGCGAAGACGGTGGTCAGCGGATGGTAACCATTACATGAATATCAAAATAATACTGTTAATTTTTGTACGTGACATATCTTCTGCATATGTTGTGTTTTCAACTGAAAAAGTGGGAAATATTACTGTATATCTGAAGCTGGTAGTCTGATATCTTAGGGTCAAAATTTATAATATAAACTGCATTCTTTTAAAAGGTCAAAACGCTGACAACGGGAGTTCAGATCATATATGTTAAATCTGATTAAAATCATATTTCTGCTAAAGACGACATTGCCTGTGGGCAGATAAAACATTTATATCCAGTCCAATAATGACCTCTTGAGTCATGACCTGGATTCTGCCATGATGGAGTCGGACTTCAAAATAGATAAGCTGCTGAATTGTTACATCTTGCTGACACTCTGCGGTTGAAATCTATTGAAGTTGTCCAGTCCATAAATGGCAACACTAAAGTTCTGTTTGGTGCAGCTTTCTTGGGAAGGTTGATTGATCAGTCATTTGGTATGTCAGAACACGTCACTTCATCCGTATTACAACTGAAATACGAAATGATCTTCAAATGTGGTGCACATGCTTAACACAATCAAAAGTGGATCTTTATTCCACGGACAATCGCTGGGCAGACCACAAATGATATGCATCTATAAAGTAATGCGTCCTTCCCAATTCGCTTCGGAAGTTTAAAATGTGCCATACACCACACCCTTGCCTATATTTAAGGATCTGATCATTAAGGTTACATTTATCACTGTAATTGACTTGTCATATACCTTCTGTATTAGGCTGTGTATGCTTATTTGGAAGCTTTTAATTATGTGGAGATATATTCAGCTGCATTGTTCCCAGTAATGGTGATGGAATGCAAAGCAGATGCAGGCCACTACCTACTCTGAGGATACACGCAAAATAGGTGACTTTCGTAGATCTGATGTTATGTCACTCTCAGTTCTAAAATGGATTGTTTTAGTTTTAAGGATGTATAAGTTACACTGAAGAAAAATATTGTCAAGTACCAGTTTGCCAAATGTAGAATTTCCTATGGAAAATCGCTTAAGTAGTTTTATCACATATAATAAAAAGGCATTTTTAAACAACTTTATAACGTGGGTAAGAGCGAAAACCTGCCAGTTGCTTCTCGTGGTCGGTGGTTCTTCCCGGGGTTTTCCAGGGTTCTTCCTCTACCATTAATACTGGCCGACATGTATAGCCTATCTTGTGCTGAAAAATGGTGTTAAACCCTATAACAACAACAATAACAACAACATTATACAACTTTAAGCCTTTGATGTAGTAACATAACATTTCTTATGATGAGATTCCTTCTTTCCTACTAACTGTATAAAAGTTTGCAAAATATAATTTTTGTAGTCTTATTGCTCAAATACATTTTTGCTTATATTTGTTGCTATCTTTTTCTACAAACTTCATCAAAAAGTTATTGGCGCAAATAAATTTTCTGATGACGTGTGAAAGCGTATTGTTGAGTACCGTAAAGAGGGCCACCCAGACCCCTACAAGGGGTAACATAAGCCGCGGACACTTGAGAACTATGAACACAAAGGCAACCTCACCTATCCAGTCAGCAAACGTCGCTAAGTTATTTTGCAAAAATCTTAAGATATATATATATATATATATATATATATATATATATATATATATATATATATATATATATATATATATATATATATATATATAACTAAAAGCTGTGACTGTGAATTATTTAAAGTGATAATAATGTAAGAAAATTAAAACATGCATAGAAAAAGGAATAACAATCTTCAGCCAGTTGTAAAATGCAAACAGTAACATTTGCCCTGCATATGCCAATACGAATGTAAAAGCTATCTGCACCTTTTCGCATTTATTGTCATTACAACGTTTGAGGGTTTTTAATAAAATCATTAAATGAAGGAACCGTCTCTGCGTCATTTTGCAAGCGAGTTTCATAAAAATGCTGTGGCTGAATATGAGTTGATAGATCCAAGACAAATAAATGAAAATGGATATATATATATATATATCAAACGTTGTAATGACAATAAATGCGAAAAAATCCAGATAGCTTTTACATTCGTATTGGCATATGCAGGGCAAATGTTACTGTTTGCATTTTACAACTGGCTGAAGATTGTTATTCCTTTTTCTATGCATGTTTTAATTTTCTTACATTATTATCACTTTAAATAATTCACAGTCACAGCTTTTAGTTACCTGCAGATTTATTTCT